TGAGAGAAGGGAATGGCCCCACGCGCCTCTACAGGGGCTTGCGCGCCCACCAGAGGTACGTCGCCGAGACGTCGGACGGGTCCTGGACGAAGCCCTTGGACGTGTCCGACGGGTCCTCCGGGCGCATGCCGACGAGGTCCGTCCGGGGCCCGACCTCGAAGCCCGTGCTGTTGAGCAGTTGCTCGACCTCGTCGGGCGTGATGAAGAGGCGCCAGTCGTGCGTGCCCGCGGGGATCCCGCCCGCGATCTTCTCGAGGAGGACGATGAGCACGAACCACGAGAAGTACGAGCGGTTGATCGTGTCGAAGACGAAGACGCCGCCGGGGCGGAGCACGCGGTAGACCTCGCCGACGGCCGCCCGCAGGTCGTGGAAGTGCTCGAGCACGTCGGACATGACGACGCCGTCCAGCGCGCCGTCGGCCGCGGGCAGCGCGTAGCACGTGCCCTCGAGGAACTCCGGCCGCCGCGCCGTCGGGAGCTCCTCGGCCGCCTGCTGCCGCGCGGCGACGAGCGAGTTCGTCGACGGGTCCACGGCGGTCAACTTGTAGCCCCGCGCCGCGAGCGCGTTCGTCAGCAGGCCGCCGCCGCAGCCGACGTCGAGGAAGCTGCCGTTCGTGCCGCCGAGCTCGCGGCGCCAGGCGTCGTCGAAGTACGGCACGCGCGCCGAATTCATGTGGCCCAGCGTGTTGAGGGCGGCATCGGGCGTGTGCCATTGTGCCGCCCACTTCGGCAGGTCGTAGAACTTGTTGTCGATGATGGTCATCTCTTCGGGTATGAACGCCAGCCGGTCCGGGAATGCGCGCGGAGGCATGACGCAGTACGCGACGACGGCGGCCACCGATGCCACGGCGGCCATGATTGCCGGCGCGCGGCGCTTCTGCATTGCTGGTGAGCGGTGCTTCAGTGCTGGTGAGGGGCGCTTCGGCAGTGCTGGCATCGCAGAAGCCACGACTGCGCGTCAAGGCCGGCCTCAACCAGGGCTTGCCCCGAGGATCTGCCCCGAGGCCTCGCGACGACAAGCAGGGCCGCGCCTCAAACATCCGCAAAATTACTCCACGGCCGCCTCCTCCATCCTCGCCTTGAGCAGCGCCACCTGGTCGTCGGACGCCTCCCAGTCCGCTTCGCGGATGGACACGACCGCGAGCCCCCGCGCCTCCAGGAGCGCGTTCCGCAACACCGACGGGCCGAGCCGCGCGCGCTCGTCGTTCCGCGCGAAGTGGGCCGGGCCGTCGACGAAGACGGCGAGGCCGCGCCCCGCGACGACGCCGTCGGCGCCGCGGCCGCGGCCCAGCGCCGCGCAGGCGGCGCCGAGCGACGGCGGCGCGGGTTCCGCGGCGTCGAAGTCGCCGAGCAGCGAGGGCACGAGCCGCGACATCCTGCCGCGCGCGACCTCCGCGGCGCCGTAGGCGCGGACGAGGGGGACGTCGGCCGGCGCCACGTCGGGGATGCCGTTCGCCGCGTCGACGAGCTCCGTCGGCGCCTCGAGGCCGAGGACCGCGCACGCCCAGAGCGCCCGGGCGACGCGGCCCGCGGGGAGCGCCGGCGCGGCGAGCTTCGCCAACAAAAACTCGACCGCGCG